GGGTCACTGCGAGAAGCAGTTGACTGCATTGTAACCTTCCCTCTATGCCAGTCTAATTTGTTAATTTGTGTATCTCAACAACCCCAGGACTGTGTAGGACTGTGTGTGTGTGTGTGTGTGTGTGTGTGTGTGTGTGTGTGTGAAGGGTGGAGGGAGGGATGGATTGGTGGATAAGAAGATATTTGGATGGTGAGTGGGGAGTGGGTGGATGGATGAAAAGGATAGAAGAAGGAAGAGAGAAGAGAAACTGGGAGAAATGATGGAAAAAATGAATGAGTTCCCTGCCCCTCTAAAGGCTCCTGCAGCCTCTAAGCATTGCAGCTCCAGAGCCAGACTGCCAGAGTCCAAAGCCCAGCATTGCCCTACTGGTGGTGTGACTTTGGACATGAGTTTTGAATGTTTTTCATACAAACAGGCCCAAACATGAGTTTTGGACATGAGAATTGAATGAGCACTTAACAAGTACCAACGCACAGCAGCCACTGTTGTTCTTTATATTAAAAGTTATAATATTAGCCCAGGGGGTTGGAGTTACCCAGGTCCTCAGTCTCATCTGAGCTGGAGTGAGTGGATCTCAGGGTTCCTGAGGGTATGGTTCAACTTGCTGCCTGCCCCCACACCTTGCCCCCAGCATTCCAGGATATCTTCAAGCTTTTCAGCTCCAGCCCAACCGGCACTGTGGACATGCGCAGCATGAAAGTTGCCCTGCACAACGTGGGTCTCCAACTGAGCCCGCAGGAGATGTGTGAGGCTCTGCAGCAGGCAGACTTGGATGGTGGGTGTCCCAATCTCTGCCCTCTCATCCTCTCCACCTCTAGCCCTGAAGAACACCTCCCTTGCCCACTGAATTCCTGGCCTGGTCCTGTTTTAAAGTTTCCTCTTCCAGGAAGCCTGCCCTGATCAACACCCCTATCCCATAGCCCCTAAATGCTTCTGCTGTGTTAACCCTCATCCTGACGTGGGATTCCCCCAGGGCAAGGACTATTTGTCCCCCACTCAGCCAGGGTTGACGCTTGGCTAGAGGCAGGACTGGCTTCTTATGCCTGGAACTTCTGGCAAGCCCCTGATCCTCATGCAGGGTACCTTCTACAGGTACAGGCACCCACAGCACTTCCTCCTCTCTCTTCCCAGGTGATGGAACCGTAAGCTTCCAAGACTTCCTAGGTGTCCTCACTGACAGCCACCGCCTTGCTCAATGTCTCCGTGAGTGACAAGACTGGTGGGACAGAAGTGGACCTGGCCTGGGGAAGGCTCCTCCTCACCCTCCCCTGTGGTCTTTGACACCAGGCCAGGTGACAAACAGCCGGGTCTGTGACCCCCAGAACCTGCAAACCCTGTTCTTAGAGATGCTGTTTAAGCTGATGAGGCAGGGCTTTGTGCCTTACAAGTCGGCGCGGGAGGTGATAAGGTGAGCACAATTGTATCCAGCTTCAGAACCCAGGATGGGGGAGCAGACTCTGCCCCATGCAGGGGTACCCTCGTGTTCCTGCCCCAGAGATGAGAGCCCTGAATTCTGGGTCAGTTTCGTGGGGGACAACTTGCCCTAGGCCAGCGGCAAGGGGCTTCCTGTCCTGCTCTGGTTTCCCCACCTGTGAGATGGAGAGTACTGGGGGAGGTGGTGTCTGAGGCAGCTGCTCCACTTTTCTCCGTCAAGCTACTACTCCAAGAAGCAGCGGGCCCTGCGGTTGAACTCGGGCTGCAAGAGCCCGGGCCGGTCCCACAGTCACGGCCGCCCGGCGTGCGTTCAAGCGGGCCTCACCTTCTTCTGCCAGGCCGCGCGCCTCAGCGGCCTTACCAACACGGAGCTGGTGCACTCGCTGCGCAGACTGCACAAAGCAGGTGCGCGCCTTTGTGGGGCTGGGAGGGCCCGCGGGAGAGGGTACTGTCACTCAGGACCGGCTCTCAGGTCTGGCCTCTCCTTTTCCTCCTATGGGCTTCCCCACCCCAGGCGTGCACAGCCCCTACTCTCAGATACCTATCCTGGCCGAGGGGACGCGGCCAGAATACAAGACGCGGAACCGGGCCTCGCGCCCCGAAGTCCGACTTCCCAAGTCCTACCCCTCCAAGTCCTACCCCTCCAGCTACCCCAAGCTCGGATCCAACCAGGGGCGGCGCAACCAAGGTGAAAGCCCGGGGGAGGAGGTGGGGCCAGCGGGCGGGGGCGGGCCTTGCGAGGGGTGGGGCGAGAGACCAGGGAGGGGGCAGACAGATGGGATGTGACAAAGCGGGAGGAGCGGGGCAGGCGAAGAGTGGGTGCAGGATTCCAAGAAATGGGGACAGGGCCGACAGAAATGGAGGCGGGACAGGCGGAGATGTAATCTGAGATCCCTCACTGGCGTGACTAAGAAAACAGGGTAGGGTACCCAGGTAGGAGGTGGGACTGGCAGAAGTGGGCCGGGCAGGCACAAAAGCAGACTGAGGTGGAGCTAATCCAGAGTCTCAAAGCCAAATGGTAGGCTGGACCCTCCACCCGCCCCATCTGCCCTCCCGCAGAGTTCGGGGACCAGCCATTAGAGTATACGCACCCCTGGAAGCTGGCTCCCTCTCCCCCAACGCTAGTGCAGAAGCAGCCCTTCTCCCCTTCACCAGCCTGTTTGCAGAGACCTGCTATGAAGAACTTGTACAAGTAAAGCATTTGCTGAGCAAAACAGGCTGCAGTGTGATGGGGGAGTGGAGCAGACGCAGCTCTTTTGCAAACATCTTTATTAATCTTGTATAAAAATAAGGTCCATGGAGAGTCCCCGGAACTGGGAGTGGCGGCAAGGTTGCACTTTATAAGTTACGGGCCAAGCTCCCACTGAGGCTAAGTACAGTATGGCTATTGGGGGGAGAGGGGTGCTGCAAGCAGCATTTGGTGGAGGGGAGGGGCTGGCAATGCTGTCCCCCTGTGGCAAGATGAGGGTGCACCGGCCCATTTGTGATGGGCCCATGGCAGGGGACAGTGGCAGAGGGGGCTGCCCGGCCCAGCCGAGCTGAGGACCACTTCCTTGAGCCCCAGCTTGCCCCGGCCCCACCCCACCCCACCTCCACTCCCCATAGTCCATCTGCAGAAATAGAGGCTACAGCGAGAGGTCGGAGGTGACCTGCAAAGGGGGTCCAGGGGGACGCCGGCGAGCACTGCGGCGGCCTGTGTCTGCACGGATGTAGGGCTGGTTCCGCAGATCTGGCAAAGGAGACACATTTACCCTTCAAGAGTCTGCCTAGGGTTGGGACCACCACTCCAGGGCACAGGCCTCACCCTTACAGGGACCTGGGTTGTTTGCATGTAGAAGGGGGCCTGTTTATGTTTACCAGACCCCCCAAACACATACCAGCATGCATGGCCTAGGGGCGGGGGCAGCAGGACTCAGTCCCCACCCCCCAAGGGCCCCCAGGGCTGTGGACAGCAACTGGGACCAGAGGCCAAGCCATCTGGGTACCTGGGGGCTAGAGGGGTATCTCCTCTCCCAGGCTGGCCTCACAGAGGAGCCTGGATGTCCGCTTGCCAGTGCGGGCCGTGAAGGGCACCGTCTTGAGCACTGAGGGTTGCGAGGGAGGAGGGGAGAGAGAAAGGAAGAAGAAAAACAGACAGAAAAAAGTAGTAAAGAGGCCGTGAGGCAGTCAGACCCCCAGGGTGGGGTGGGGGATGGACTGGAGGACAGCACAGGACAGACTGAGGGCAGGATAGGCCTGGTCAAGCCCTCACCTGTGATGATATCTTCAATGGCCCCATCCCGGTCACTCTCATAGATGAGTGGCTCCTTCTGCTGCTTCCGTTTTAGCTCAGAGATGAGGTCCATCTGTTGCCGCCGGACCTTGGGTGGGGACTGGAGGGAGGGGAAGGGTATACGGCTCCAGCTCTGGGATCCCCCCACCCACCAAGCCATATCTGTCTGGTTCCCCCCAGCAAGCCCCCACTGCTGGCTTGAGCAGAAGGAACCCCTTCCCAACCCAGGCTACCGGGGCACCATCCTCACCTTGGGCAGGGTGTATCAGTAAATAAAGGGGTGCAGAGGAGGGCCAGATCTTTGGGATGAGGACACCATGCATCCCTGCATCCAGAGCCAAGCTCAGAGGCAGCTGCCTACCTTAGGTGCTGGGGGCTCCCCTCTGCCCGGCGTGTCAGCGCCTGCCTCCTGGGCAGCTGCTTCTTTCTTCCACTGTTCCACCTCCTGCTCAGCTTTCTGAGGGGCCAAAGTGGGTCTCCATGAGCAGAAGCCTCCCTCACCTATCCTGCTCCCCAGATAGAAGCAGCCCCCACCCTTCCTACTCCCCACGTGGAGAGGTTGCAGTGCCCTACAGTGGTGCCCACCAGAAACACATACCTTGTAGGCCTTGACGAAGCGGCTAAAGAGGGAAAAGAACATGGAAGGGGACGTGGTCTTGGGGTTCTCTCCGAAGTACTCCACCACAGCTTCATAGGCCTCCTGCAGGCACAGCCTGTCAGCCCCATCAGCATGAACCGCTCGGAGCCTGACCACTTCTGTACCCTCCATTATGACATCAGCCACTTCATCTCAGCTTCTCCTGATGCCCCCCACCCCATTACTCCTCCTCCGTTCCCCAAGGTGTCCCTGCTGTGGCCATGCCCCTCTAGGCCTTAGCTATTCAGCCCTACCTAGGTAGCCCTTCATACCCCACCCTCCCCTCCCCACCTCCAGGGCTGGGCCATCCCTAGTCCACCTGAGCTGTCTTGCTGTCTGCCAGCAGCTTATCCATGGTGGGCGAGTTGGTCCTCAGGAACTCCTTGAGCACCACACAGTCATCCTGCCGCACAAACTCCCGCTGGGTCAACTCGAGGCCTCGTTGCAGGGAGCGCACATCCCCTAGGACGCTGTCCAGGGACACTGAGTGGAGGGGAGGGGGGGGGCAGTAGAGAGGCAGGGAATCAGAGCGGCAGCATTCCTGTCCAAATACATCCTGTGGTCCCCTTGCTTTCTCCCAGCCCATATCGGTCCCCAGAGCTGAGCCCCTACCCACACTCAAAGACAGGCTGTGGCCCACCCATACCTGAGCCTGCCTTGTCCAGGAAGTGCAGGTCACTGTGGAAGCCTGTGAGCTGTGGATACTTCTCAGCAATGACCTTCACCAGGTAGTGCAGCAGCGTCTGCTTGCGGTCAGTTGACTTCATCTCCAGCAGCTGCATGAGGACCTGTTGTAAGCCACAGGCCACCAGCCCTCTCCCATCCCTCAGGCCAGGGGACCCCTTCTCTCGCCTCTTACCGCATCCAGACTCTGGAGCCGGAAGCCATAGGCTGCTCCACGCTTGCTGCTGTTCATGTAGTTGCCAAAAGCCAGGACGATCTGGGAGAGGCAGGGGGAGAGCTCAGCAGGGTTCTGGGCTGAGGAAACGTTTCCCCTGAAGTATGAATTGCACAGAAAAGGTAGCAAAGAGCAAGCCCCACACTCAGCCCCCACTGCACTCCTGCGTGGACCCCTCAGATCCACGACACATGTACATGCATGTGTACATGTTTGCCACGTGCATGGCTAACACCATGACACATCCAACTTCATCCTCTGCTATTCCTACCCAAAACTGTGAGGCCAACATCCCCTCCTAGGCTATGGGGTCGCCGCTTTCTAACAGCCATTTCTAATGGTTCCCTGAGCCTCCACTGAGCAGGTGTGGGTTTTCTGCTAACCCACAGAGGGGCAGAGCCCTCAGGCAGGGTCTGAGGTGCGCTGTTGTAGACATGGCCCCCACCCCCATGTTGAGCCTGCATGTGAGAGGTGGGAACATATTTGCTGCACCTGGGGTGTGCAAGGCAGGGCCAGGATCTCCCTCTCACATGACCCAGAATAGGAGCCAAGGGTGGACCCTACCTCCCAGGCTCTTGCCCTACCTCCAGGATTTGGCGGAGTTTATCAGAGGACTTGATGGACATCGAGGCTGCAATGACGGCATTCAGTTGCTGGGGGTGGGATAGGGGAGGCAAGTTAAGTTGGGGTGGGGTGGGAGCAAGCCCGCAGGAGGCTCAAGCGCTCTCCAACGCCCTCTTGGAGCCCAGGCTGGGAGGGGCCTCCTGCTCATCCCCAACCCAGGCTGCACCCACACCGCCCTGCCTGCCCCGCCCACACCGGCATGAGCAGCTGGACAGTATCCGGGAAGTTGCCCAGGAACGTGAGTGTGGTCATGCGCTCTGGCAGGCGCGGGATTCGGCTGAAGCGCAGCATGAAGCGGTCCTCCTCTGACAGCTCCTCCACTGGCCGCTGCTCCCGCTCAAAGCGAGCGATGAGGCTGCGCTCATACTCCGTGGGCAGGAAGCGGGTCAGCAGCTCCAGGAAGTCCAGGCCAAGGGCCTGGAGGTCATACCTGGAGGCAGAGGGATAGGTGTCACTCCATCAGTTCTTGAGAGGAGGACTATCCCCTCCCCCTCCTTGATTAAATAAATGGACTTCAGTGTTTGCAATTTGCCAACAGCGTCAGGAAACAAGAGAGAGGAGTCAAGGAAAGCTGGCAGCTGAGAAGCCTGGGGTCCCCATCATACATCACGCTTAGCTGTAAATGCCTCAGTCTGAGTGCCCATAGCTGGGTAAGGAGGGAATGGGAATATCTGTCTCAGCGTGGACTCACAGTATGGCCTCAGTTTCTCAGCCTGAAAAATGGGAACAAGGTTCCCCGCCCTACTCCCTTACCGGGATTGGTATGAAGCTTGGTGGGCTCTGTCCCATAGTTGGGGCTATTTTACTAGGATCTGCCTAATGACCCTGGCCAAACTGAGGGGCTGAGCTGCCCACAAGCCCCGGGCAGAGGTACTCACGTCTCGATGGCCTGGCAGATGCGGTCGGCCCCCAGGTTGCCCTTGCGCAGCGTGATGGCCAGGTTCTTGGCCCGATTGGCCTCAATGAGTGTGGCCTTGCTGGGGGCCTTCTGGGCTGCCTTACCCTTGAGAGCACCAAGGTCCAGGCTGGGACCTTGGGACTTAGTCTTGAACTGCTCCTCAAAGTCACTCATGTCCAGCTCCTGAGGGCACAGAGAGGGTGGGGCTGGGTGGGGCCAGGGTCTGATACATTCCTGGCTCAGCACTCTGCTAGGTGCTAGAGCCACCTATACAGCTCTGACCAGGCCACTGGCAGAGAATCAAACCAGTTACCCAGGTTGACCACAGGCCCTGATGGAGGATATCCTGAGGAGAAGGAGCAGCACCCAGCCCAGGGGACCCACACCATTACAGCAGAAGGAAAAGCTGAATTGGCCAGGGTTGTAAAAAAGGGAAAAGGGAAGGGCATTCCAGGCAGAGGGAACAGCATGAGCAAGAGAACACATCCGTTTTGGAAAACTGAAAGTGGAATTAGAAGGACTGAAGCCCTGTTTGTCTGTGAGAAGGTGGTGGAAGAAGGGCCTGAAAGGAGGAGAGAAGCCAGACTTGGGGGAGGGATGTGTCTGTCTGCAGGGATCGAGGGAAAAGCCTTCAGGGGAGTCAGGATACACTGCCTATTACACTAGATGCACTGATCCACTTTGGCTTAATGCCCATCCCTGGGCCTCCATGTCCTCATCTGTAAAATGGGATGGAGGAGAGGAGACAACCACCCCTAGTGCCCAGCATGATCCAGGCAAGTCCCCTGTTCCTCTGGTGCCCACACTGGCACCCGGTGGGGCCACACTCACCTTCAGCACCTTCTCATCATTGAGTTCAGTAAAGAC